TTTAAGAGAGAATTAAAGAAATTCAAAACTAACGCGTTAAAAGCAAAAGGTGTCGTTAAAAAAAACACGTGAGCAAAACGTAGGGAAGCTGTGGCGTGTGCTGTGGCTGTGACTTATGAAAATTATTTCTTAACTAGCGATTCACTCGGCTTTACACGGGTGATTTCTGGATCTCGTCAACACCGCCACCTTCCAAGTCCAATTGTAAATATAACCACCAAGGGACCCACTTAAAGACATTCAAAAACCGAGACAGCAATAGATTTTTATATATATTGAAACCAATATTTATATTGAAACCAACATTTATATTAAAACTCTTAATGGCCCTAACGCATGTAAATGGAAAGTGTTCCAGTTATAAAATGGTGATTGACTATATGGTTTTAATGATAAATACAATCAAATTATCAATCTGTTAATGGTCTACTTCTGGACTTGGGTTAATCTTATAGTAGAAATTTTTTCGTTATTTATCTTTGACGTTTTTATATAGAGTAAGGTTGGAAAAACCAGCGCATAGTTCATCTGATGGTAAGTAATGATGTGGGCCATAGACATCTACATGTATCCTCGATTGAGAATGAAAATGAAGATGCGTTATCACGCTTGAGAACTAAGACGTAAGCCTCATTAGCTGTAAAATGGATATCCTTTTCTCTACACTCACCATAAGAAGTAAAGCATCATTAAGCTACTATTTACGCTGGTATTCTGTGAGAGCGTAGTTCTTCCCCGGTTGAGCTGAGCCGACACATTCGTGCTACAACCATAACGTAGCTGCTGAATAGCTCTACCACACCTTACGATACATATTAATATATTGTAAAACGTTAATGTATTGGCTTTCAAATTTTAAATATTTTGAGAAAACTCGCTAATCCATTTAGTTTATTTCTAGCAATTTATCTTAGACAAACATAAAAATAATTGTGTAGTAGTAAAATATTTCTGCAATCAAACAATCAAATCTGTTGTTGTGACTCTAAAAAATGATCGAAGTTTCTTTGCTGTTTAATTTAGTTAAAATTTTCTTCTAGCTGTGCCCGCAGCTTCGTTCGTATAGAATATTTTTTTGTAATTTATTAATACACTTCCCTATTTGAATCGGATTATGTTCTCTACTTCATGGGTTTTAATTTTTTGGCGAAGAAACGTAATTAATTTTCTCAAATTAACGTTTACCTAAGTTACTGCTTATAACGTCAGCTATCTGCCAATTAAAGTCCCGTCACAATAAGTCCAGCCGTTTCGGAGATTTGCCGAAACAAACAGACAGGCAGACAACATTTTTAAAATTCTTTTTTGTTATGAAGTACTATATACTATACGTATACAGCACTTATAACAAAAAAATCCAGTTTATACGTGTATTAAGTAAGAGCTGTTATATTTTAAGATTACGAAAATCCTTCAATTTTTTAAAAAGTTTGGTAAAGTTCCAACCAGTACTGAATGGCACAAGTCTACTCTCAATTCTGAGACGGTTTTGTGCCAAGAATTCACAGCGCTGCCCCACTGTGCGTTAATGGAATTTCACTTGTTTTCGAAATATCTTTTTCATTCAACGCTGAGCACGTGATCTTGTTAAAACCTTTCTCCCAAATTATTCGGGACTGGTATAGAATGTCTTGCATTCTCCCTGATTCCCGTCATCTCTTCGCTCACTCCATTCCTACGCATAACATTCCTAACACAGTCCATCTTTTCTTAGGCCTGCCTCTAATATCAAACTATTGTCATAGCTATCATTTTTCTTGTTACATAGTTTACTTCCCTTCGCATAATATACCACGCTAGTCTGCCACTTCTCAACTTTCCCACGACTAGGCCACTTTCAAACTGCCTGTGATAAATTCATACCTGACTGAGTCAACGCCAAACAGTTGACAGTTAGAGTAATTTTAGGTAAAGTAATTTTAATTAAAATATGATCAAATCTCTAGCACTGAAAGTTCTAAAAAGAAATATAAACTAGACACTTGACAAGGGAATCAAGGGATATTTAATAAAAATACACTTTATTTTTTATTCCTTTTAAATAATATACAAATGCTATAGAATATAATATAATAAATTATTATATTATAAAATATAATTATTGAATAAAATTATTATTAATAATTTTTATTCAATACCACAGCGCCACCTACCGGGTATAATTATAGCTAAGAGCAATTCAGGCGAACCCAAGAATTCAAAATTCATCAAAATCTTTCAAGCCGGAGGCTGTAGGAGGAGTAGAATTACCTACGAATATTGTGAATCTAAACAATGCACCCACCAATAGGTACACACAAAAATTCGTAATTTTTTTGCCAATTTTATATTTTTAGAATACTTGCGGAAATCTAAAGACTAATGTTACTTCTTCCCTTGTGTCGATTGGCGCTATCTTCAGAACAGAACAGAACAGAAACTTTTTATTCAATATTGATTATAAATAATACTTATTGAAAGTCACGTTTTTTTATAGTTTACAAAAATTCGGAAAAAACTATAACTATATTTGCTGATATTGTATCATTAACCTGAGTCTGAATTTTCTGCGTGAGCCACAGGGAAAAAGTTCTGGCAACATGATTATCCAACTAATTTGCAATACGTTCTTACAATAATTTCAAAGTATTTCTTTCGTAACAATCGCATCACTGTCCCTTTTTTAGGGTTCCGTAGTCAACTAGGAACCCTTATAGTTTCGCCATGTCTGTCTGTCCGTCTGTCCGTCCTCGCTTAATCTCTGTGACCGTTAGCACTAGAAAGCTGAAATTTGGTACCAATATGTGTATCAATCACGCCGACAAAGTGGTAAAATAAAAATTGGAAAAAAAATGTTTTATTAGGGTAGCCCCCTATATGTAAAGTGGGAAGTGATTTTTTTTTTAATTTCAACCCTTACGTGTGATATATTGTTGGAAAGGTATTTAAAAATGAATAGGGGTTTACTAAAATCATTTTTTGATAATGTCAATAATTTCAGAAATAATCGCTCCAAAAGTAAAAAACAATGTGTCCCCCCCCTCTAACTTTTGAACCATAGGTTTAGAAAATATGAAAAAAATCTGAAAGGTAGAACTTTATAAGGACTTTCTAGGAAAATTATTTTGAACCTGGATGGAAACAGTTTTTGTACAAAAAAAGACAAAAAGTTGTACAAAATAATTTCTGGACTAAGTTTGTAGTATAATCGTTTAAGCAGGCATTTTTTTTAACTTCGTTTACATATTTTATTATCCTGAACGTATCTTTTTTCAAACAAAAAAAGAATTATTAAAAAAATTATCCAAAATTACCACCGAAAACTTCTGGCACGTCTATGTATTAATTAGTAACCCAATTCCCCGAGAGATGGCGCTGTAGGTACTTATTATATTGGGTCGGGTATTATCGAATTGTTCGGTTGGTCTCTCCTTGGCATCGCCTGCTGCATGTTCGCGCACGTACCCACTACCGGGAGCAGTTGCAGGAGCGCGGAGCGCTGCTGGAGCGCGAACATAATGGATACCCACCTTTAAACTCATAAGTGGGAACACTTATTGTGACGGACGGGAAACTACGGAACCCTACACTGAGCGTGGCCCAACACGCTCTTGGCCGGTTTCTTATTATAATCTTCAATAACAGTGGGAGGGGAGTAGGTAGGAGGGTAACGGATTTGGGTTAAAGAGACAATATCAGCAAATATCAGAAGATAGCGCAATCGACACAACAGTTCGGCACGTAAGTAGGCTGCGAGATAACCGCCCGCTTGTTCTGCTCCCTGTTCATATTTGGATATTTTTCTATAAATGTTTTACAGTCGACCTACCACTTCAAACTGTTGTTATTCTATAAAAATAATAGGTACTATCGATGATATTGTGTATGTGCACATATCTTGACACACATATATTTTTATGGTTTTTTCTATAGGATAAGGACGACAAACCTACAAACAGTCCACCTAATCGTAAATCCTATACGTGGTAGAGCCACGCTGCAGCTATATTATGGTTGTAGCACGAATAGGTCGGCTCGACCCGTGAAGGACCACACTCTTACAGAATAAAATAACAGTTTAATGCTGCTGTGTTTCGTATGGTGAGTGTAGAGATCCGGAGACCCCTTTTTTACTAGAAACGAGGCATTGCATCTTAGTCCTCAAGGTGCGAAGAACTCAGATGTGTTGTCACCCTTGAAGACTAAGATTCCACCACTTACCATCAGCTGGACTGTGTATTCGTTTGTTACCCTTATTCTATAAAAAATTGTATGCTGTGGTCCATAGACACATCAACATTTTTCCTCAATTAAAAATCAAACCGCACAAACTCATCATACGAAACACAGCTGCTATTTTACTCTGGTAGAATGTATAAAACGTGGTCCTTCCTCAGTTGAGCCGATCAATTAATGCCGCAATCATGCTGCAATGTAGCTTTGCCACAGATAAACTATTTTAAATATTTATTTATATATAGGTTATGACAAAACCCTTCAATGGAGAAATAAGTACCTACTTTATTACATGATTCTTCATTCTTTCTAGTTTTTTTAATTCCTGGGTCTATGAAAAGCTAAGTAATAAGTTAAAAGACTGTTGATGGTACTGACTGACTGCTGATGACAAACATGTCTTAGTTAATGTTAGAAAAGTCTATAAGAAATTTTCAGGTAGTTCGCTGCTCTTTGGAATCTGTCGACTTCTTTGGAGATAACAAACGTGATGCTACATCTGAACGTAAGTTTTTTTTATTAGAACTGGAATGATAAATGAACTAAAAGTCAAAAGACGGTAAGAGGCTACTGGAGTTGATGGATAGACCAACTCCAAACAAAGAAGGCTACATATGCGTTACATCCTGAAACTACACGCTGAAGTTTCAGGATATCTTGTAATTATACTGACTTTCTATACGCTCAAATTGAAACAGAGCAATGCAGACAGTGCTATTTGATGTACAAGGTGGGAAGAACAAATCAAGACTCCACTTTGAATTCCAAAATAGTAAAATATTTCGTCACGGTAGCATACAATGTACGCTCAGTAATGGCGGGAGGCGTCGGGACATGTGGCGGCGGGTGCGGCGACGCATAGTAAGCGAGCTCTCGTAACAATCGCGCGACTTTCCACCACTCGTTACGTATTCGACAGGCGGGCTCACATGCCTACTGTCGGTTGCTGGGTGGACTCGCTCGAAGTTGAAGTTCAATTCCTGTTGATAATTTATGTTTAGATACAATCTGATGTTTGGTAGAAATCTTTGTTGAATTTATCATTGTTTGAATGTCGCTCTTTTTAGTGTTTTTTTTTTTTATGGAAGTTGGGGCAAACACGCCTGCGGCTCACCTGATGGTGACTATAGAACAACTGCAACACCAGGGGAATTACAGGTGCGTAGCCTGCCTTTTGTGCCGTTAAAACCTTTTAATAAAACGTGTTTATCCTGAAGATATCTATTACATCCAAATGACTTTTTTATACACTTTAACTAGTTTCACGTGTATATATCTATCTATTATCTATCTAACTGAATCTTTTAATGCAATTCATCAACTTGTAAACTGCACATCTATCATGGACCGATGACAGTACAATAACTTAATGACTTTATAACTATAAATATGATAAAACAATTTTATCTTTAGTGCGTTTCTTTAGTTTTTAAACAAAAATACTGAACGAACATCGATACTTAATGTACTATTTAAAATGAATAATTTTTTTAAACAAAAATTATTTAAAATACTGATGTACATTATGTACCCTTCGTAGTTGGAAGTTAGTTGCAGGAGTATAGGACAGCAGTAACCACTTACCATCACGTGCGATAAATGTGCCAAACGTCTACAGCTATCCGCGTGTCAAGCGTGACGATGAAGGCAATTTCTTTTGCACATTAAAGGTGACAAACGAGCACACAGTCTACCTAATGGTAAGATGCTGTGACCCATATACATTTACAGCTATCCTCAATTCAGAATCAAAATGCAGATGCTGTGTCTACCCTGAGAACTAAATAGGAATGCCTCATTACGAGCACACAGTCCACCTGATGGTAAGTGGTAATGTTGTTGCCCATAGGCATTTACATTTATTTTCATTTTAGAATCAAAATGCAGATGTATTGTCACCCCTGAAGACTGAGGTGGAATGCCTCGTTTCCTGTAAAAAGGGTCTCCGGTTCATCATACTCACCAAACTAAACACAGCAGCATTAAATTGCTATTTTACGGTGGTATTCTGTGAGACCGTGGTCCTACCCTGGTCTATCTGTTCCATTTGTTCTACAGTTGTAATATAGCTGCAGAAAGACTTTGCCACACGTCGATTACGATTGTATCCTAGGATTATTATAACCTTACACAAGTGACGTTACTCCTCATTAAAATTTTTGAACCATTTGTGACATTGTGTCATAGTTAGTTTTTGAACCAGTTGTGTCATAGTCTGATATTCAGCGATGTGCTTCGCGTCCAGTTAAGTTGACAATTCCATTACAGACTATAAAAGTCCATTGCTAAACATTGGCCACTCCCATAGATTATAGTCATAGGGGGGATTTTAAAGTTGCTACATTTGGGAGGCGGGTTGGCAACTGCAGTTTGTTATCATTTTGAGTTGTCATCGGTAAGATGCTGCTGCCCATCTCCTGTTTTAGTTTTCCTCTGCCACCTGCTATAACACCCACGGGGCGATATGGGGTAGTGGATATCCTTACACGAAACTACTCGGTTTGGTGAAATCCAAATATTGGGGTTGATGAAGAAGTTTGGCCATTAAATTGTGAGAAAACTTAACTGTAAGACGTTATATTATAATTTACTATTTTTCCTATTCCAGATGGAGCGATATATTCTGACGCCCGAGCTTCAATCGATCCTGAGAATTGAACCGCGGAAATGGAAGATATCTTTCAAAAAATATTAGTTTTGCAATAAAGGAATTCGCGCTTTAAGTTCTTTCTTTGGTTCTTTTTCACTGCTGAAATATATTTTATTATTTTTACGTTTCTACAGCATTACGAGCGAGCAAAAACCCACATAAAAAAGCAATGACTTCAGATTTCCCTGCGTTTTCTTCGCTGTAAAGGTTAACTACTATTGTAACCGAAATTGTTAAAATATTTTGACTTATAGCTACATTACCCACTATACTTATACATTTTATACGTGGTAGAGCCACGTTGCAGCTATATTATGGTTGGGGCACGAATGAGACGTCTCGACCGGGAAAGGAGCACGCTCTCACAGAATACCAGCGTAAAATATCAGTATAATGCTGCTGTGTTTCGTATAGTGAGTGTATAGAACCGCAAATCCTTTTTTACTGGAAACGAGACATTCCATCTTGGTTCTCAGGGATGACAAGGCATCTGCATTTTGATTCTTAATCGAGGATAGATGTAGATGTCTATGGGCCACAGCAACCACTTGCCATCAGGTGGATTCTATGAAAAAAAAATACCATCTCGTGGTTTCTATAAATTATCCGTTACCGATACAACATATTAATGTCCGCTGCTGAACATATAGCTTCCCCCATAGATTGCCTCATTTGGGGTATTCTTGCCATAGTTGCCATGCGTGGCAAGAGGGTTGGCAACCTAAGTTTATTTTTTATTTTTAGTCGTTATTAGGAAGACACTGCTGCCGATCTCAACGCATATGCATTTAGATTCTTAATCTAGGATAAATGTAGACATCTAGGGGCCACAGCATCCACTTACCATCAGGTGGACTTTGTGCTCGTTTGTTAACCTTTTTTATTAAAAAATATATGTGAGACTTATAACAGAAAAGAATAAGTCAACTGTATAATGATTTGCTAGGCATACATTTGTAGGGACCCACAGACATATTTTTTGGCTGAACGTTATTTGAACTCTACGTACGCCTTTGGAGATTACATGCGTAATGATATATATAAAATGTAAGCGTTAACATAACAAGTGTCAATCCAAATTATAAAACATGCAAATCATTCATTACTACTTTGAAATGTAGCTCAAATGTTACGGCGGGTATCCGACACGCAATGTAGACGGAACCTGGACAAACCGACATACGTGAAACTAATACAAAAGCAAGTAAGCATCGTCTATATTCCGCAAACCCAAGAGACGAGACCACTCGACATCAGAAAAGATTTAGTAAACAGGAGCGCGCGGGGGCCCGCAACAAAATCGCTAAAACTTAAAGGGGCGACGACACGGCCCAACCACGCCGCTTCAAATGTATTCAAATGTATGCACGATTAATTCAGGCTGCATAGCCAGCGGGACGGTGTTAGTAGTGGCACCAGTCTCACTTTCTACGTCGGATCGATGGGGCCGTGACCTTCGTGCCTCTTATTTGGCTCCTGTATCGATTTTTTTTTTCGCCTTTTTCGATTATCAATCAGGCAAAACTGACATTGACGGAACGTGCCGGGAAAGTGTACTGTCGGAAACCAATCTGAAATGTTATTTGTGTAAATTTTAAATAAATCTCACTAGATTTAGTTACATAATTCACAAACCAACCTATTCCAAGCACACTTTTGTAATACCTTACAAATTGGACATTTGTCTACGTCTAATAATCTTTAAAAAAAAACGGTGTAATTTTGAAACAAATTGATGAAAAATAAGAAACCACAGTGACAGACGGACGAACCACCATGATCTAATTTCTTCGTTCATGCAAAATAAAGTACAATAGCCTCACTAAGTACACGAAGACCAACTTTATGACGTCATCATTCCGGATATGCAAACTACAAAGGGATGGAGCCACCAATTCCCATACTTTAACTAAGAGCCCGGGTTTTACAACCAAAGGTTTGCTTTGAAAAGAAAAGACGCCCTTGTGAAATTCCTTTTCAGGTCTCCGAGGAATTCAGTAGAGAAGTGTACATGTAGCTAGGGGTATAGGTGGGTCGGGTGCTGGGCGGCGAGTATGCAGATGCTAGTGTGCGTTATTGCACGTGTGTGTGTGCGCGCGCTTGTGTGCGTGGAATGCGATGCACGGAGACGTCCGCTGTCTACGTAGTGAGTTGTGACGTCACATAGTACGTTGCTATAATATACAACGTACAAAATTTGATAATATTTCTATAATGAAAATTATAATGATGTAATTTACAGATATAAGTCAAGACAATTTTCATAATAATTATCACGTTGTTATAATTATGTTTAACGATATTAAATAGTGCAAGGATTCCGTAATATCCTAGTAATAGTTTATATATCATTAGAAACTCCATAAAATATTTTACTCAAAGTGAACTGTAAATAACACAGTACTCAAACAGTCCGGGTTCGATGCCCGCGGGCACCAATGAAATTTTGAATTGCAATTTTAAGACCTGATTTACCACGGTGAAAGAAAACATCGTCACAAAACGTCCACGAACAAAATACTTCGAAGACGTGTGAAGTCCAACACCATGCGTTAGAGCAGTGCGGTGGACAAATCGCCCTACAATCCTCTCAAAACTGATAGGAAGCCTGTGCCCAGCCGTGGGACGTAACGAAACTGTAATTTAACTCTTTCATATAAAACTATCTGTAGTTATTAATCACATATACATGGAATGCATTAATATGTTACATAAGACATATTAGGGCATTCCAGTATAATCCTCAGGGGTGACAACGCAACTGCATTTTGACTCTTAATCGATGATGAATTTAGTTGTATATGAGTCCAATTACCATCAGATAATTGGACTCATCTCGTTCATAACGTTCTTCTATAAAAATATTTTTTTTCTTTTATCTGCAATTAAAACATTTATCGTCGCTTCATAACAAAAATGGCAAAATACCATTGGTTGGCATTTGAAAAACTTATGGAATCGAACTGCGGTACCAGCATTACACAACACGGGAAGCATCCAGTTTATTCAACCCCACGCACACACACGCACGGCAGCACACAGCCGCACTTGCACACAGAGTGCCGCCTACGTGCCGTCGTCTTGGCAACGGGGCGCCTGCGCGGAACCGCCCACCGCCCTCTGAACTCCGCCGCACGAATCTATCCTGTATTGGTCATCTACAGATAAGCCGATGTCAACTCGTCCAATTTTTTCACTAATTGTCCACGGAAAGACTCGCACGTACGACATTACAAACATTTCCATAACATTACGTCTAGAAACAAGTTACTAATATACCTATTTCTAGTTCACTGTAACGTAATTCATTTTCAATAAATATAATAATAGGTAATTGAATTGAATTGAATACTTTTCAATTTTCATTATTACGTACGTAACCACTAAATAAACAGCAAAAATACGTACGTTACGTAATAATATTAATTACGTAACCATTATGAGCTAAAATTATTTTTTGATTTTTCAGTTTTGAAATACCTATACGTATTTCCTCAAATTTACTTCTATTATTGAACAACCATGTAAATTTTTACTATTATGTAACAAGTACATTACGTGTAAAAAAAATTTCATTCAGTTTCGAAGATTATTTGATCAACCATAAACGATATTTTAATTAAAAATATTCATTATGTACACTCTAGTACTGTGTTAAAGAGTCGTAAAAAACAAAAATAAACTTGAAAACAATGCATCGGAAACCTTAACGACCGCAGTCTTGTAAAAATTTCACGGCGACTTTTCAATGACTTCAAGGTTATACATTTTAGGGCGATCCGTGTTTTTTTACTCGTAACTTCCAACAAACATGCCATCCCTGGAAATAAGCAGTTTTAAAACCTATTACTACTTAATTAAACTATTTATTACTGATTAAAATTGTTTATGTGTACACTTTACCTATTATAGCTAAACGGGTTCGTAGCATAAATACACAAATAATTTCGGAGCAGATCGCCTCAATGACATCTCATTTTCGTAACAACAGCGAAACGGGGACATTTACAAAATGTCTCTAAGTACACAATAATGGGCTTTCAAAGCGACTAATATATCTATGTAAGTAGACGGTCTGCCGCATAGCAACGTGTGCGAGGAGGACGGAGTCGGAGGGAACAGGACGACATGTCCCCCTCGCCGCCTCACGCACACTGCGGAGGGGGGAGGCACGCACACTACGGAACGTAATATGAAAAGGAATGTAGGTATTTGCGAACACGAAGACAGGCACTTGATAACGTTTGTAATGGAGGAGATATGATGCGAGCTACACTGCATTATATATCAAGGACTGTACGATGCCCGGGTGGGAACAGAAAGGGTTGTGATTCCCATTTTCGCAATCGGATAATGGAAAATATTAATTAAGGACCTGCCGTACTGGGCGATAATTTGCCGCGTTGTATTTGAACTCGGGGTGTTTGTTTTAGCCTCTGTAATTGGATACTGCGGGTTTTGTAAAAATATTGCGAGAAATATTGGGAGACAGATTTGAACATCTCTCGTTATCAGTGTATTGTAACAGCACATTTTAATGTTTACTAAAAATGAATAATATGAAACTTAATATTCTAATCTTTTAATTTATTACCCTTATCACTTACTTAAGTTAAATTTAAAAAACATGACGACACAACATAGACTGTCACACCTGGCATCCTAAGGGGTAGGCAGGCATTACAGACTTCTCACGTATTATATTAGATATATCTACGCTAACATGGCCGTCGGTTAGGAGTATAGGTACTTAATTTGGCCCATCTTCAATATATCGCCAATTTTGTCTTAAACTTCCGTCACTTGCCGGCTGCTACCCACTTCGCAGCATAAATTAAAAAACCATACATGTTAAACATATTTATTATAAAACGAGGGCAGTTTACAAACGTAAATTGCACAAGGTCAAATATTTGTTGGCCATACAAATACTTGTTCAATGCGGGATCGAATCCGTTCTAGAAAATACGGAAATACTATGATTTTCGGTTCAGAACCTAAGATCTTATACAAAATGTAAGAAGATGAAAAAAGAACTCTATAGGCAATAAAAACTAAATTACTATATACATTTTGCAATAACCGGCCAAATTTTCAGAGAAGCCTTAGAATAAGTAATATAGGCAATTGATGAAGAAATATTAATTTAAAAAATTTGAAACATTCCGTACCTTTTATCTTTTAACATTCGTAACGGTCCATCGGTGGGCAAAAACGTTGTTGGCCATAAATCACATTCAACTTGGGATCATTTCAAATAAAAGTACAAGCCTTATTTACTCGTATTTTTGAAAACTGCATATGATTGAAGCTGGTAATCGGCGCATTGTAACCGCAGAAGAAATAATTGTGCAAATATCGTTTTAAATTTGGAAGACTTATATTGTTTAATTAGACTTAAATTTCACTGAAGTTGAATGATATATAACTTCAAATAAATTTGTCGGTACGATACGCGCGCCACCTATTATTAATTAATTGTACTATGCTTATATAACCATCGCACAAGTGCCATCAATAAATTGACAGTTTTACCGCAATCGTATAAACGGTATGGCAATGCATAAAATACTAAAAAACAAACATTAATTGTTATATGTATAATGATTTCTTATATTTACGCGAACACTACACATGATTAAAACTACTTTTACGGATTTTATCGCGTTTGTTTTTGCTTTTAATTACTTTTATTTTTAACCCGTGACCATGGGTGCTGGAAAGCGCCCGAAACGTCGGGAATTAAAAATAAAAGTAATTAAAAGCAAAAATAAACGCGATAAAATCCGTAAAAGTAGTTTTAATCATTAATTGTTATATATTAGATAACCTCAATTTTGTGGCAAAAATGTGTTTCTTATCGCCTACACATGGTTCACAGTATAATACTCCTGTGTTTCGTTGAGTATAGTGAACCGAAAATCCCTTTTACCTCGTTTCCAGCATTCACGAGCAAATTTTTATACTTAATCGAGGACCGCAGCATACCATAAGGTGGACGCTGTGTTTGTTTGTCACCCTAACTAAGATTTCCACTGGAGCAACACTAGTTGCCTTTACATTCATTTTGAATATGTTATTATATAATAATGCTATTGTGAATCATATGAATGTAACATTAATATCACGACTAAAAGGAACTAAGACAAAACTCAGGTTTATTATTCATTATTATATAATAATAAATCTAAATATTTATACGTGGTAGAGCCATGCTGCAGTTATATAAATAGTATAAGTTGTAGCATCAATGGGTCGGCTCGACCGGGGAAGGACCACAGAATACCAGAGTGAAATAGTAGCTAAATGCTGCTGTGTTTCGTATGGTGAGTGTAGAGAATTGGTATTTAAAAAGTGCTATTCGCAATTATGTTGTACAATTAACAAATCATATTAGAAATAGCTTTGTAGCGATCAACTCGTTCTCAGGGGTTATTATTTATTAACACCCATAACAAACTTAACTAGCAAAGATACAACTTAAAGATCAAATATTAACAAGTTTCAAAGTATAAATATGAAAATAAATGAGGCATCATTTGTCAGCGATGCGGTGCGTTAAATTAAATATGTCCATTTTAAATATATGTGCATAAACCCCGAGGATCGCATCACAATTAACGCATAATGCAAGGCATTACCATTAATAAAATCGACAGCGGCTTGCGCCGACTCCCAGACAAGCGGCGGCGTGACGTCTGAAATGAACAAGAAACAAAGTTTTATTAAAATGTATACTAAAGTGGATGGCGTGAAAACGAGCTCGCCACTATGCAACTTTTAACTGCTACCGCCATCTATCATCGAGTAGCGGAACTTACACAACAATGGTTCTTTTCAAATTCTATATAAAAAGAGTAGCTAACTTTTCTCTGATAAATAAATTTTAAGTAAATTAATGCGTAGACTATCTTAGTGTTGAAAATACAAAATTAGTGAAAGAAAATCGTCTGCGATGTTAGAGGAAATGAATTCAAATGACCTTGCTCCATTAATGCGCCGCGGTATAAATTAAACATGAGTGTCGTTATTGTTGGAGGCTTTAACGGTTTTTTTCACATCGCTTACGTATACAACAACCGTTTTGATTGTTGTCTAACGACGACATCTTGCAATTATTCATTGACTTGTCAACGACAAGTTTCCAAAAAGAAAACAAGAAGTGAAATGAAACTAACGTTTAAGGTTAAAACTATTTAAGTTTGGATTTAAAACATAATTAAAATAATACATAAACTTACCTCTATACTGTGGGAAAGACTTGTGTCCAGCAGTGGACTCTTACAGACTAATAAAGAAAAAGCTTACTACGAGTACATAACGATTCCTTATATTTACGCGTAAATAATGTGGTGTATATTGACTAAAGATATTGATAGTTACTTTGCAACCATCCGCTCAAAAATAAAATGATGTGTCGTACCTAGTTTAAAGAGCACCTGCCGCCCTCCCTCAATTCTCTTCAGGTGAAGATGCCTCGTGTAGAGGCGAAACACGTGTTGTATTATCGTGGATGGTGTGTCTTTTCTAGAGTAGTGGTGGTGACAGGATTAGTGCACGCAATTGGGGAAAGTCGAGAGGTGCTCTTCAAACTAGGTAAGACACATCATGTTATTTCATTGAGTGGGTGGTTGCAAAGTAACTATTAATACTTATCTTTAGTATAATGGATTTCCGCGAAGTAACGCCTGATTCTCTTCATTACCACATATTAAATAAAATTACTTTTACGAATTTTATCGCGTTTAATTTACTTGATTTTAATACCCGACGTTTAGGGCGCTTTCCAGCATCCATGGTCAAAGGGGAATTGAGGTGATTAACGTCTCGTGTTTAATGTGTATTCGTGTTGCAAATATAATTTAGCTGCAATGTGGCTCTACCACGTATACAATGTGGTTCTACCACGTATACAATGTGGCTCTATTACGTATACAATGTGGCTCTACCACGTATACAATGTGGCTCTACCACGTATACAATGTGGCTCTATTACGTATACAATGTGTCTCTACCACGTATACAATGTGGCTCTACCACGTATACAATGTGACTCTACCATGTATTAAAAAATCTTAATGTTTCTGGGGTGTAGCTTGGGTCTCTGCTATACTTCTTATGGTAAGTGTAGAAAACTGTAGATTTTTTTGTAGAAAACGATGCATGTTAATGGGCACCAGCATCCACTTACCATCAGGTTGATTGTGTTTTCATATATCACTCTTGTTCTATAAAAAAACATAATTCAGCCATTTAGCTACCATATAACGCCATTTAATGTGATTGATTTTTTTATTATAACCTTTACAGTTTTATGCACTGCCGTAGCATTAAATGAAGTTTAACATAACACTTCAAGTGGAAAGTGAACGCATGAACTCTCTCAAAGTAGACGGTAGAACTTAGTTCGTGAAAACTTCCATACGAGTCTGCTTCTTCTTCGATTCAAAGTTTGCATTATGGATTACAACCATGGTAGTTCACAGGCTAAGCACTCGGCGTAAATTTCACACCATGAGCAACCCAGGTTTGAATCCCGTCTGCACCAATGAAACGGTTACTTTCAATTTTAAGAGCTGAATAACTACGTGCACGCCGGATGATTTAGTGCGTAAAGGAATAGAAGTCGAAAAAACGTACATGTTTATATAGAAATATATTTCAAAGTTATTTGAAGTCCGCTAACCCGCGTGGGGGCAGCACGACCGAAACTTCCTTGTAAGTAAACAGTGGTTGAAAGTGGTGTATAATATAAATCTTACCTTCATAGTAGAGGCCAAGTCACTTACTCGTATATTGTCTCCTCTATCTTGTCACCACTGAGGACTCTAATGCAATGCCTCAAAGTCTGCAATTATTCTAGTACACACACAATGCAGGCGCTGCTATTTGGCTTATAGGTAAGAGGGCGGTACATTAGCCCTACCACCTGGTGGCTTATACACACAATCCACCAGACTACGAGCTTTAACATCCACTTATGGCTTGTAGACTTATAAATCTGCCTTCGTACAGGAAGTTATCAAATTCGATGCGACTATGACGCAATGATTCGTTACCAGTTAGGAGGTCTTCTTTTCTCGTTATGCCGGCATTATACGCTGGTATTCTGCGAGAGTTCTATACCAAACCAACTTATTTGTGCTGTAATAATAATAAAATAATTGTACGTGGTAGAGTGATGCTACAAGTATATTATGGTTGTAGCACGATTGTATCGGGAAAGGATCACGCTTTTACAGAACACCAACGTAAAATAGCAGGTTAATGCCGCTGTGTTTCGTATGGTGAGTCTAGAGGAACGGGTATCCTTTTTACTATACGAGACATTCCATCTTAGTCCTCAGAGGTAACAACGTATCTGTATTTTGATTTCTAACTGACGGTAATATAAATGCCTATGGGCCACAGTATCCACTTAACATCAGCTGTCTGCTGTCATCCTTATTATATAAAAAATGAATTTTGAAATTTAATTTATAAAAAAAAAGTACTTACGTAATTTTATTAAATTAAACTTATTATAAAATAATAATAGATCACTCAACAGAACTGAGGGATCGTATACATGCACGTATTCGTACACAATGATTAGTTACATATTGCAGTTAGGAAGTTAGGTACTCACGGTTCCCCTGTTTGCGTGGTCATTGTGCGTACATCGATTTGTGTGCGGAGCCAAGCGTGAAATGAACAAACAAAAATATCCACCTACCCAGGTACACGTTAACATACACACACACGCGCACATACACACACATGGACGTACACACTGACATTATGTACATGACACCCATTATCTAATTATGTTAACTGCTTCAAGGTACAGGCGATCAGCGAATGCAATCATGGGTATGTCTTTACAATATTCTAAGTAACTATACGTGTAAGCAAAGTTGACAGACCAGTTAAAAAATAGAACAAAATAGAATCATTTTTATGCAATATTAGTGATCCGCTCCGGTTTCACACAGGTGATTTCTGTGCCACATAACACGTTCAGTTGTGAATCTAACCTATCTAGGGACCCACTCAAACGCACACAAAAAATTTATATATATATATATATATATATATATATTACAAAACTACTTATTGAAAGTCATTTATATTATACCACTGGTTCGGAAAAAACCGCCACCACCCTGGGAACAACTAGCAAAAAAACAGCGGGCCTTTTTTTAAATAGTATTTAATATATTATTATATATTTTAAACAATTAAGTATGAAAACATTTGGAAACAGCGTGGCTGCTATCACCTCATTCCCAGGGGTTATTATCAATCATGTACTCTTCAGTAGTGTCATAACCCTTATTAAACTATTTTTACTGATTGAACTTTTTTTTGATAAGGTCCTGCATATTTCCTGGGGCTTTATTGAAAAAACGTATTGCCCCATGAAAAAATTACTAACTCTTTGTTAACAGAACGTAGGTGTATTATCACTATCTTCATAAAACTATTTTTGTTTTTGTTTACATACTTTAAATTTTCGGAAGTATACTCAAAGGCCAAAGTTAATATTTAATTAAATACTAATTCAATTTGAAACTAAAGTACCACGTAGATTCCACGAAGAAGAAACCTCACCTATGTGCTATATGTAAATTCATATCTATATAATAAAATATATCATATGAAGGTAAAATTAAAGATTTAGATTTAGTCACTAGTAGTCTCTTCATGTTTTTTCACTTTTAAATTATATCGAGTAAACGTGTAAGCAGAGGATATTATTTCTTTTATTAATTTAATTTTCTTAAATTAACTTTTGTGTAATTTTTCATGTTTTAATTTGATCAAATTTTGCGATTTCTAATCATTGTTCTTAAATAAATAAATAGAATAATAAAAGTTAAGGCGTTAGTGTAAATCGCGACGTAAAATTTAAGTCTAAACCATATGAGGTATCTAACTAAAATTTTGACACCGAACTTTGAGTTTAAGCTCTAGATTGTTTTTTTATCAATTCGATTCTTAGAATCCTTTTTGTGAATTGAAAGTGTCATACAACCTTACAGTGGGGAAAAATCCTTTATGGTGACAATTAACCTCGAAAAACAAACATATTTTTTTCTACGAAATTTTCACTGGAGGATTGTTAACAGAAGACAAGACAAAGCTTACAGTTTATGTATATTCGATATGTTTTCTCAACTGTTACTGTTACTTTTAGAGCCTATTAAAGTCCACTGCTGACTGCACACAGGCCTCCCCCAGTGATTGCCTCATAGATGGAATATTTGCCATAGTTGCCAGGCTTGGCAAGCGGGTTGGCAACCGCGGTTTTTATTTTTAGTCGTTAATTGATTGATTGATTTGTATCTCTCTGTCCCCTCTTGCGACACTCACGTGAAGATATGGATAGTGGATATTCTTACTACGCCATTAAACGGTAAAATATTGTATATTAATGATTTAGCTCAGGTATGTACTTTCAACGTGAAAATATTTTTTTATTTATATAAGTTCGCCCAAGAATTACATAAACAAAGCATATGTCCGTGCTAACTCTATGAGCTTTTAAACTCGGGCAAAGTAAACTTGTGATGTTTTCCTCGGTAACATTTTTATATAAATAACAGTAACATGAACACATCCCTCATTGTAAGTAGATGTTGTTTTCCGTACTAACATCTTATTTCGGTTTAAAAATCAAACCCCTTATCAACCCACAAATACCACTTTATCGGTAAAAGGAGTACCGTTTTCATCTCTAACCAAACACATCATTATGCCCCCATTTAACGTTTTGCTAGTGCTTCTATCTCACCTGGTGGTAAGTGGTGATGCAGACAAAAATAGACGACTTTGATTGATAAAAGCGTATACACTACCGCCTTGAAGGCACATATTGTAATCGGAAGCATGTTCACATTATGGACGACGAAGCAAACCGTTGCCAAAACTAACTTAGCATTCTGTTATAAAGAAACAAATAAGTTCTTCCCTGGTCCATTCAAAAACCCTTCTCCCTTTATTTATGGGGTTCACCTAATTGTAAGTGATCACCGTCGCCCATGAACATCTGCAACGTTAGAATAATTGCAGGAGTATTGCCGGCCTGTAAAAAGGATTAATTTTTTTTTCTTGGAGACCTTAACAGTCTGCAATACCCCTGACAGCACCTATATTCCACATTATGGTCCACCGTGCCAGAAAAATCGGCGTTCCTCATCAACTTTATTTGAAAGCAATCAATTATATTATTATTCTATCATATACCCACAAATATGTCGTCGTTCCTTCATATAATAGATATATTGTTCCGTGAGCAATGAACGACCTATTTTCTGACAAGACGATGCGTGAAATGAACTGAGATAACGAGGCGCAATAGCAATTTGTTCTTTGAATATTACTCAGTAACCTCCACCCATGCATACTTCGGTCTTGTAATTTCTTGCGGGCTATGCACACGTTTAAAATATTAGGGCTTGGTTTTTTATGGGATAAGGGGGACAAACTAGCACACAGTCCACTTGATGGTACACAGGTACTATAGCATACATAGACATCTATATATATCCTCGATTAAGAACCAATAAGCAGATGCATTTACATGCATCCCTGAGGACTAAAGTGAAATGCCTCGTAACGAAGAGTAGAGTTAAAAGAGTCTCAGGTTCTCTACACTCATCATAAGTAACACAGAAGCATTGAATTATTGAGCTATTTTACGCTAGTATTCTGTGACAGCGTGATCCTTCCTCGGTCTAGCCGATCCATACGTGCTACGCCAATAATAAGCTGCAGCATGGTTTTACCAGTCGTGGTTGGCGACCTTCAGCATTACGTGACTGCATACGTGAGAGCATTGCAAGTTAAGTTTAATATAGTGAATACTGTGAAAATGTAATGTATAGCGTAATAATTTGTTCTTAAATGAGGGTAGATGTAAATGTCTGTGACAATTTCTTTTTCTTCATCGGCCCGTAAAAACACATTGCTGAAGAGGGGGTCTTTTCTGAACGTGTATTGTAATGAGGATTTCTTAACTATATACCATTTATCGGAGGTGACAAAAAAATTCTGGTATTTTCTTTAATCAATTTCTACGGCACCACGGGATGAAGTGGAGCAATATAAGTATACACCACATGCCAATATCTAGACCGATAACTGTAAATTTAGTTCAATGGAAACGAAACAGGAGATGGCCAGCAGCATCTTCCTAATAACGACTAAAAATAATAACTACAGTTGCCAACTCCTTTGCCAAACGTGGCTAGTTGGAAAGTATCCCCCCAATGAGGCAATCTATGGGGGAGGCCTAAGTTCAGCAGTGGACTTCAATACGCTATAATATAATTGCTAACGGATCGTTTAAGAAGTAAAATCTAACAGCTATGTATTAATACGTGAAGGGAAATCTTTGTACCAACCATATTGCACGCACCCCCGTGCGTGTGAGTGTGAGTATTGACATAGTTTAAAGTTTATATGGAGTTCAGAAAGCTAAAATGTACATATAATGAATTGGTCATGCTATCCGTATATCCGAACATCCAAATTATCCGAATCTCCGTCGAATATATTATCTGGATAATAAGTTCCAGCAATTTCACAACAGATACTTAATTCAAAATTAAAGTCATTAGTACCTCGAATGGGATGGTACATCAATTACTCAACAACATCGAGGGACAAAGTCATAAGTAATTAGAGGCCGCAATTTAGGGGCGAAGATTGACTCCGTTGATTCACATAATTCTCGTTTTTCGTTACCGTATATTAAAATGAGAAATTGTATAAATCGCATTACATATGTAGTATGCAATGTTTCATGGAAATGTCACAGTCGAAATTTCCGAGTCAAAAGTAACTAACGACATAGAGCCTTATTACCGGGGGAACGGTGAGTTGTAAATGAGTTGTTGCACGTAGTTTGATGGGACTAATAGTTATGGATTGACTACCGCGTGATTCAGGGCTCGATATACTTCTCTAGGGAGCAATGGAACTGGAGTTCGGATTCCAGTGGTTTTTTATAGAATAATACTCAAACGCTGGTTAATTTTGAGATGTCGTTAAGTCTCGTGCTGTCTCTATCTCTTTAAGTCAAAGTGACTGTGACAACAAAAAACGTAGCATTTGAGTATGTAGCCATAAGGGTGATAAATAAGTACCAGTCCACCTGATGGTAAATAGATGCTGTAGCCTATAGACATCTACTTCTATCTTCGTATAATAATATAAATGTGTTTTCATCCCTAAGTACTATGTAGAATACTTCGTTACTAATATTAAATAATACACGGTTCTCTACACTCACCATGCAGGAGATACCAACATTAAGCTGCTAGTTTACGCTGGTATCCTGTAAAAGACATCCTTCCCCGCTCGAGCCCACCTATTAGTTATTCAACAATAATATAGCTGCAGTGTGGCTCTACTACGTTAATTTGCGTATTATATTAATGCTAATAAGTATTTTTCTTTACCTGCAGCACTTTGCAAAATATAATACTTTGTAAAACACTGCAATATTATAATTCACATTGTGTTGATAGCCCGTATCCCGTATCCCACCTAATTTCTTGGTGGTCATTAAGGTCGACCGCGAAAAATTCAAACAGAATTAAAGTCCACTCGTCATTGGGGGTGGTAATCGCCGTAGTTGGCACGCTTGGCAAGCGGGTTGGCAACCGCAGGTTTGTAGAAGAGTCGTGGATGAACGTAGAACGCATCCTCAGCACAGGATGTTGGTCACGGTGGCCTGACACAACG